CCCCAAAACCCCAAAACCCCAAAACCCCAAAACCCCAACCCCAAAATCCTCTTGACTGTCCTTACTTCTTAAGATAATGATTCAAAATGCCATCTGAATTAATCACCTCTATTTCTCTCCTAAATCTCAACGTAACACAAGTACTTCTTCTTATGCTTAGCAGGCACTGACTCCAGAACAGCCGAGAGGCGGCTGGGCCAGGCGGGAAATTTGTTATGGTCGGGTTTTAAGTACGCTTGATGGATGTTTGGAATGGGAACGGCTGAAGTTCTGGTGCTGTGGGAGAAATTTGGAGAGAATGAGTTATATATCTTTGAATGAGGTTTATTTGAATTTGTCTAGAGATTAGGGAGATTCTTACGAAACCACTTGTTGTTGTTGAAATTTTATCTGAGTTGGATTCTTTTCTTGCTTGGATTTCATTAATAAGTCGGATGATATTCTGCCTAGTGGTCTCTTTATCAGTTTCTGCTTGGTTTTCGACTGAAACTAGTTCGTTATGATATGACGAACGACTTTTAGAATGCTTCTTTATATTTGTAGAGACCGAGTTATACCTTCTAGAGCCATTTTTAGAGCTTTTATGGCTGATAGATCCCATACTTCAGTCATCGTTAGGGTTAATCTTCATCACACTGGGATGTGTCTTTTCTTTGCTTCCTTTATATTTTCTTTTTAAAGGAGTTCTTCTTGAAACAGAAACTGATTTGTATTTATTTTTGGCTTGCCCTATATTTCGTTGGATTTATTTGAATTTCTTCATAAAATATCAAGTTTTCCAAATAATGCATATCAATAAAACTTACTTGGTCTAGATCAAAGAGAAAGACTATCTGCACCACTAAAGTTCTTTTTGACTCTGATATTTCTAATCGAAAGCTCTTTTTCCTCCTGGGACTCAGAAAGATCGTTAAATTTATGTGAATGTTTGGTTATCGAATTGATTTTGTTCCGAAGTTGCTTCACAAGAGCTATAATATTGGAATCTAATTTACATTTATTCTTCATCTCATCTCTGTATTGATTCTTTGTCCGCTTTGGAACTCTCAAAACTTGTTCCCTTATTTCAGTGATGTTTACAGGCTTATACACTTTTACCGATTTTCTGTGGCCTAAAGAGGAGTTATGATCTCTGACAATAAGAGCTTCATAATTTTTATAATTTATTATTATTCCAAAGTTTTATGAGAAGCCAATAGCTTGTGAAGCTATTCGAGAAACAATAAAAATGTAAGCTTAAAATCCTACCATTTATTCGATCAAATAAAGTTGAATTATCTTCCTTCTGGTTTGGGAAGTACTTCTGTCTGAGAGATTTTCCTCCACAGTAGACTCTGAACAAAGTGTCTGTCTAAACATTCTCAGAATTTGTTCATATTAGCTTGGGATACTTACGTTCATTCCTGCTCCTGATTCTACAAAGGAGTTATGAGGAAATGTTACCAAGAAGGTTTAGCAAATATAGGTTTTGTAGAGTGAAAATAGAGGAATAGGCCTTACCTGACTCCATTAATGTTCAAATTATAAAAGTTATTTTAAATAAAAGGGTATTTAGGGGTTTTGGGGTTTTGGGGTTTTGGGG